CAGAAGACAGGAATTCTCGGTTTGGACTTCCCCTCCAGGGCCTCTCTTGGCGCCGCTTCGGGAGTTTCTTGGGCCGTCTTGGGCGTTTATTGGGCGGTTTCAGGATTATCTCGTGGCGTCTTTGGGCGGTTTTCGGGGGTCTCTGGAACCGGCTTGGGCGCTTTGGGGCGTCTCGGACGTCGTAAAGGCCGAGAAGTCGGACATGCTAAATGTGTAGGTTCCCCCAAAGGAATTAGTTGAATAGTTGTTGTCTTTTGGCGCCCTCTTGGGGGGTGCTCTTGGAGGCCTCTTGGGACGTCTTGGGCGTTTTTGCTGCCGACTGGGGGCTATCTTGAGCGTTTGGGCCCGAAGTCCTGAGTTTCGCATTTTGACGCGTCCGATGCCTCCCCAAAAAGCGGAACAAACCGGAGCACAGGCGCACCAGGGCCCCCCCCTCCCCGGCAGAGCCACCTTGGCACCCCCCCCAGCAGAGCTGAAGCTCAGGCTTTATGAACCTCACGCGCCGCATCGGCGGATTTTCCCAAGGTCCTATCAGGGGTACGTGGGCACCTGTGCCGCACGTTGTAACAATACTCTTATTACACTTTCGGGAGCCTGACAGGATTCTCGTTTTCTTTTGCCAAGCCACCCTGTGGTGTTGGGTCCTCGCTTTGAAGAAACAGCGCCCTGCGTCCCTCCCTCCCTATCGCCTCTTCCTCCCGCTCCTCCTCCCCCTCCTCCCGTCCTCCTTCTGTCTGGCACACCCCTCACACGCTTCGTGGCTCCATAGGGAGCTCAACCGAAGGCCCCAATGGCTGCACTCACATGCGTCTGATCCGCCCAGCACGGCGCTTCGTGGCCCCATGAGGAGCTCGACCGAAGGCCCCAGTCGCAGCACTCGCATGCGTCTCCCCAGCCCAATACACCGCTTCGTGGCTTCATAGGAAGCCCCATCGAGAGTTCAAGTGGCTGCACTCGCATGCCCTTCCCCCGCCCCGTACAGCGCTGCGTGGTTTAATTGAGAGCTCCACCGACAACCCCAATAGCTGCACTCGCATGCGTCTGCCCCATCTGGGAGCTCCACCGAAGGCCCCAGTGGTTGCACTTGCATGCGTCTCCACCGCACAGTACAGCGTTCCGTGGTTCCACAGGGAGCTCCACCGAAGGCCCCAGTGGCTGCACTCGCAGGCGTCTCCCCCGCCCAGTACAGAGCTTCGTGGCCCCGTAGGGAGCCCCCCCGACGGCCCCAACGAACCCGTTCACATGCGTCTTCCCCGCCCAGCTCAGCGCTGCGTGGCCCCATAGGGAGTTCCACGGGAGGCCCCAGTGGCAGCGTCCACATGCGACGCCCCCACCCAGTACAGCGTTGCGTGGCCCCATAGAGCTTCATCGAAGGGCCCAGTAGCAGAGTCCACATGCGTTTCCCCCAGTGGCGGCACTCGCAGGCGTCCCCCCCGCCCAGTACAGCGCTTCGTGGCCACATAGGGAGCTCCACCGAAAGCCCCAATGGACCCGTTCACATGCGTCTGCCCCGCCTAGTAGCTCCACCGAGTGTCCCAGTGGCGAAGTTCGCATGCGTCCCCCCCGCCCAGTACGCTTTTTTCGTGGCCAGTGAGGAACCCCACCGAAGGCGATACCCACATCTGCGGTTCTTACAACTGCATATAGTCGGGCCCTTCGCCAGGCTAGTTATTGTTGGTTTGTTTGGCCCCCTCTCTCTCGCTTTCTTGTTATATGTTTCGCTCCCTCTTCTCTGGTGCCTCTCAGGGGCTTCGCAGGAGCGTGCCAGATACACTTCCGGAGCCTCTCAGGAGTTTGTTCTTTGCCCTTCAAGGATCCATTCAGGAACCTCGTGCGATCTTCTCGCTGCTGTCATCGTATTCGTCGTCGTCGCGTTCGTCATCGTTGTTGTCGTCGTCGTCGTCGTCGGCTTCCGTTTCGTGTCCGCGCAAGGGGGTGATAACGTACGCGCATGGTCCGTCAGTGTCGTGTTCGATTTTCGTTGTTCAGATGTTGAGAAGACGCGCGGCTCGCAGTAACCTTTTTCCTTCTACTGTGGTGTTGGGTCTTCGTTTTGAAGAGGCAGCGCCCCGCGTCTCACTCCTTCCTCCTCCCCGTCCTCGCTCCTCCCATCCTTGCCCCTGCCCTCCGCAGGTCAACCATTTCGGCATGCACCTCACGAGGATCGTGGCCCCATGGGGATCTCCACCGAAGGTCCCAGTGGCAGGGTTCGCATGGCGGCCTCGGGCCACTGCGGCACACCCCTGACTCACGAAGATCGTGGCCCCAGTGTTTAAGGGGGTTCCACCGGAGGCCCCAGTGGCAGGCGCATGGCGGCCTCGGGCGATTTAGGCGCACCCCGCACGAGGACCGTGACCCCATTGAAAGCTCCACCGCAGGCCCCAGTGGCAGGGTTCGCATGGCGGCCTCGGGCCTTCTCGGCACACCCCTCACGAGGATCGTGGCCCCAAGAAGGGAGGCTCCACCGAAGGCCCCAGTGGCAGGGTTCGCATGGCGGCCTCGGGCCATCTGGACACACCCTTCACGAGGATCGTGGCCCCATAGGGAGCAACCAAAAGCCCCAGTGACAGGGTTCGCCTGGCGGCCTCGGTCGATTTCAGCACACCTCTCACAAGGATCGTGGCCCCATAGGGAGCTCCACCGAAAGGCCCATTCCAGGGGTCGCATGGCGGCCCAGGGCGATTCCAGCACACCCCTCACGAGGATCGGTGCCCCAGAAGGGGGGCTCCACCGAAGGCCCCAGTGGCAGGGTTCGCATGGCGGCCTCGGGCGATTTAGGCGCAGCCCTCACGAGGATCGTGGCCCAATATGGAGCTCCACCGAAGGCCCCAGTGGCAGGGTTCGCCTGGCGGCCTCTGGCCATCTCCGCGCACCCCTCACGAGGATCGTGGCCCAATATGGAGCTTCACCCAACGTCCCAGTGACAGAGTTCGCTTGGCGGCCCAGGGCGAGTTCGGCACACCCCTCACACGCTCCGTGGCATCACAGGGAGCTCTGGACGAAGGCCCCAGTGACAGCGCCCACATGCGTCACCCGTTCATTTTGGTACACCCCACGCACGTGTCGGGGCTCCCGTCCGCGTTGCCCCGTTGCTCCATCCCTCTCGCGGCGCGTTACTTCTTATGAGAGAGGCATATCCTGCGAGATTCGCAGCTACATCTGGTTGGGTCCTTCGCAAGACTAAGTTTTGGGGGCAGGTCATCCCGAACACTACTACCTAGCTTCGCATCGCATTGCGTAGCAGTGGATGGCCATGACACCGCATAGAAACACTGTACCCTGACCACCGCGCACCGCAAAGCACACTGACAACATGCTGCACCACTTTCGCCGCGCATTGGCGCCTGTACTGTATTGTTCCTCCCGTCGTTCCCCCCGATCTCAATATTGGGCGCATCGCGAAGAGCTTGTGCTACCGCCCCACGGGCTCCCGACATAGTGTTGTACCACGGAGCTGTTTCGATTCGCCCGGACCGAAGCCAATTTTTCGATCGGGGGAGCGGGGGGGAACGAACGCCAAATGTAAAAACGATGCGCGCCATTGTCCACGACGGGTGGTGCAACATTTTGCCCCTACGATTGGCATCGCCCTATCTCGATGCCGATCTGAGGATTCCTTGAGTTTCTGACGTTGCATCCCTAAGATTGTCATCTCCTTTGGACTTGTCAATGTTACGGATATGGGGTAAGCTCGAGGCTGGTTAACGAGGACCATCCAATGTTGCTCGTGACCTTGGCCTCGAAGGAGAGAACAAAGCGAGTCTGCCGTGGCCCCGCGGCGACACCAAGTAGAAAGGTTGGCCGGCTCGCCAGACGTGCTGGCCCGCACGGGGTTCAGCAGAAAACCCCGATGAGGGCGTGAAGGCATCAGAATCCTGGCCTAGGGGCGCTTCGAAGATCTGCTCGTTGCACCATCAGCTTGGAGCTGGCTGGGGGCTTGAGGTGGGGGGGCAGGTTCGAGGTTTGGTTTCGGGCCTATTGTTATTTGGTTCGGCATCCTGTGGCCGCTACTGGGCCCAGGACCGTCGAAACCGGATTCGTGGTGTGGTGGAAGACTATACACCAGGTGGACCCTATGGACCCCGGGGTCCGGCGGCCGATTCTGAGCGGATTTGGGATTTGGCTCTATCCCCCCGTTTTGGCCGATTGTCTTGGGGCCCCAACCAGTTTCAGCTTTCCCAGCCGCCTCCAGGCACCCGCAGCCGGGGCATCGGGTCGGACTAGAAGGGAGGACTGGGACTCGGCGAACTCCGCCTCGTGCAGCCAGTTTCGGCCCAGCCGCCAGACTTTTTCCTCTGCGCCTCGCCGCCTCTATAGAGCGCCGCCAGGCTCCGGAAGAACCAGCGGCGTGCGGCCGATTCGCCAACCTCCCCTCTGCTGTCCTCCTCTTGAAATTCGCATCGTTGGCGCACCGTGCGGCGCATGACTGCGAATACACAGTCGCAGGATTTGCTGGAGACAGGCGCGCATTCAGTCATGTATTTGCTGCGTACTCCGTAGCCGCCGAGGCCTGATTCTGACGGCCTCTTTCGGCAGCTTCCAGGGCCAGGCTGAAGAAAAACATGTCGCCATCACAGCTCGAGAGTTCCCTCGATCATGTCATGCAGCCCGCCCACGAGAGGAGGATTGCGCCCTCTGCGGCATGATTCGCCCGCCGCCAGCGTACCTGGTCCGCCTGCGACGTCGGGTTCACCCTGGTCCGCCTGCGACGTCGGGCTCACAGACTCCGAGCTTCGACCTGCGATCCCTCCTCGTCCTCCTAATGTGCGGTCAGAAGCTTTGGCTTGGCGTGTCGCTCCGCCGGTCTTGGCCCACCACGCTTCGGCGCGACACGCGATCCACGTCCCAGTCCCCGAACGTCAGCGTCCCGAGCCTCTTCGAGCCTCCCGGCTCGCGGAGCGGAGCGACACGCAATCCGCTCGCAAGGCATCGCGTGCCGCCGGGGCCGCCGCCGCGGCATGCTATCCAAAAACTCCTCCTCATAGAAGAGCCCCCGACAGGAGGACTGCGCCCTCTGCGGCATTGTCCACCGCCAGCGCGCCCGCTCCGCCGACGACCTCGAGTTCCGGAGGAGCGGTCAGCCCGCCGCCCATGGCGCCTCGCCGGGCGCCTCGCCCGCGCTCAGGCGCCCACCCCCGCCGGCCTCCTCGCGCATGCCAGCCGACGACGACAACGACGACGTTCGAGGAGCGAGGGGTCGACGACGACGACGACTTCGAGGTTTGAGGTTCGAGGTTCAAGTTTCGAGGTTCGAGGCACGGCAGCGACGAGGTTCAAGGTTCGACGGAGTTTTGTTTTTTTGTTGTGTGTGTGTGTGTGGGTTTTTTTTGCTCCCAGCCATCCTGTGGTGTTGGGCCCTCGTGTTGAAGAGACAGCGCCCCGCGTTCCTCACTCCTTACTCCTCACTCCTCCTCCTCCTCCTCCTCCTCCTCCTCCTCCTCCTCCTCCTCCTCCTCATCCTCCTCCTCCTCCCCTCACAGCATCATCGTTATCAGTAGCATCACCATTGTCATGATTAACGTCCTCATGACCTCCATCGTGCGTATGCCTCGGGCCATTTCGGCACACCCCTCACACGCATCGTTGCCAATACAGGGCTCCACCGAAGGCCCCGGCCGGAGGGTCCGCCAGGTCCGCTGCGTCTGGCGGGTCGGCTGGGTCCGCCGGGTGGGCCGGGTCCGCCGGGTCCAAGCGGGTCCGCCGGGTCCACCGAGTCCGCCAGGTCCGTCGAGTCCGCAGGGTCCGCCGAGTCCGCTGGGTCCGCCAGGTCCGCCAGCTCTGTCGGGTCCGCCGGATCCGCGGGGTCCGCCGGGTCTGCCCGGGCCGCGGCCGGCCAGAGTTGCTGCACCTCGGCAGCATCATGGTTGCCACGCCGGAGCGCCCGTCACACGCTTCGCGGCCCCAGGAGCTCCACCGAAGGCCCCAGTGGCAAGGTCCGCACACACGCTTCGCGGCCGCCCAGAGGGAGCTCCAGCGAGGGCCCCCGACGGTAGGGTCCGTATGGTGGCCTCGGGCCATTTCGGCACGCCTCTCACACGCTTTGCGGCTCCAGGGAGCTCCACCGAAGCCCCCAAACGGGGTCCGCATTGCAATTTCGGCATGCCCTTCACACGCTGCGCGGCCCCACAGGTAGCTCCACCGAGGGCCCCACGGGGAGGGTTCGCATGGCGGTCTCGGGCGATCTCGGCACGCCCCTCACACGCTTCGCAGCTCCATAGGGAGCTCCACCGAAGGCTCCAGTGGCAGAGTCCGCGTGGCGGCCTCGCGCCATTTCGGCCCACCCCTCACGGCCCCGCGCACGCTTCGCTTCGGGGCTATTTCTGCGCACCCTCGCGGCACTCGCAGCTGCAAAAGTGCGGGTCCTTCGCCTGGCTAGTTTATGTGTGTGTGTGTGTGAATGTGAATGTGTGCGTGTCTGTGTGTGTGTGTTTGTGTGTGTGTGTGCGTGTGTGTGCCTCGGGCCTTGCCGCCCACCTGCTACGCCAGGTGTAGATTGCCTCGTCGTGTCACGGCTTTGCGTTTCGCGACGGTGTCGTCACCTCACCGCTGGAGGAGCATGTGTCTCAAGCTTCCTGGTGGGGCGTCTGGTCGAGTGGCCAGGAGGCGCCCCACGAGACTTCGGTGGCATGCTGTTCCATTGCGCGGCTCTTGTTCATGAATTGCTTGTCGGTTTGTGTGGTGCGTATGGCCATCTACTTCTTTTTTGCACAATCTACAAGTGGATATATATATATATATATATATATATACATACATACATACATACATACATACATACATACGTACATACATACATACATACATACATACATACATACATACATACATACATACATACACATATGTATATACGTGATTAAATATATATACATACACACATATATACATATATAGAGTTTGCTAGGTGATTGTCGGAATGCCAGTTGTCTCATCTAGCCTCGTTTCGACTTCAGGACAGCTTTGATGTATGTTGTGATCATTTGGCTCAAGATCGCCTGGCCCAGTGAGGCGGTGATCGTTGGTGACACCACGACGGGCGAAACCGAGCTCAGCCCGTGCTCGCGATCGGCCCTCCTCGTCGGGTTGGTCGCGCTTCTCTGGAGCCAGGCGACCTGGCTGGGCGCCGCTCGCCTCGGGCCCGAGGTCGCCGAGGCCGTGGGCCTGGCGGGGGCGCGCGGCGTCGCCGCGCTCGGCCGAGGCGCCCAGGCCGCCTGTGCCTGGGGCTGGCGGGCCTTGCAGGCGCTCGCCAGCTCGCGAGCTCCGCGGCGGCTGCCGCTTGGCAGCACCGCGAGGGCCTGGCGCGGGGCGCGCGTGCGGTCCGGAGGGCTGCTGGCCGCGGGGCGGCCGCCTGCTGGAGCTGCGGCGCGGGCCTCGTCGGTTGGCTGCGTGGTCGTCACGAGGCTCGGCGTGCCGAGGGCGTACGACGACGCGAGCTCGAAGCTGCTTCAACCTCTCGAGTACGCCTTGGTGGAGATGGCGCTGGCGGGCGGCATGGCCGTGGGCGCGGCAGCGCCGTGCTGGGTGCTGGTGTCGCGCGCTGGCGAGTGGGACGAGGTGCTGATCTTCGGGCAGGTGATGACGAAAAACTTCAGCCTCGGGCTCACCACCGACGACGCGGGCACGTCCTTCGTGTGGGTGCTGGTTTGGCTGCTGCCCGGACACTTTCGAGCTGCAGTGGTTCCAGGCGGGGGGGCGCCGTGCGTGCCGCCGCTCGGTGTCCCGATCGTCTCGGTGAACTGGGTGTGCGAGCCGTCTCACGCAGCGAGGCAGTGGGGCCAGAGCGTGGCCGAGCTGGCAGCGCTCCGCCTCGAGGCCCAGGGGGTGGACGTGGCCATCTCGACGATGGTCCTGCCCGCGGGCGTCGTCACGGATGCTGGGTCGCAGCAGCTAGCCCTGGCAGCCTTCATGCCCGTGGGCGGGCCGCTCCCGTCGCCAGGAGGTGGCGCCCTGGTCGCCGCGCCGCCTCCGGGGGCGGCCGCGGGGCCTGCTGCTCCCGCGGCGGCGGCTGCGCTACCAGGCGCGGGCGGGGCGGCGCCCGCGGCTGCCGCGGGTCTGGGCTTCGCGGCGGTGGGCGTGACGCTGCGGCAGGCGCGGCGGCGGCGGCGGCGCCGCTGACTCGGCCCAGATGCTGCAGGAGGCGCGCGCGATCCAGAGCCAGATCCAGAGCGGCGGCGAGGTCAAGGACTCGAAGGACAAGAAGAAAAATAATAATAAGAAGAAAAAGAAGAAGAAGAAGAAGAAGGAGAAAAAGAAAAATAAAGGAGTCGAAGCACGACAAGAAGAATAACAATAATAACAGCAATAAGTCCGACTCCAGAGACTCGCCGAGCACCAGCGGCAGCAGCAGCACGTCCAGCGACAGCGAGTACCTGCAGTGGAAGGGGGCCCAAGGCGAAGAGCCGCCGCGTGGACCCCGCCCAGGGGCGCAGGCTGGATACCGAGAAGTTCAAGGCGAAAAGGGACCTGCCGGCGGTCGCGGCAAAGCACCCGGGGGCGCTGTCTGGCTACTTCCTCGCGCTGGTGCACCGCAAGCTGAGCCACGGGCGTTTGGCGGAGACCAAGCAGCTGCGCCGGGCGTCCGCCACGACCTGGGCGCAGGCCCATTCGGGCCTGACCGAGCTGCGGGACCAGCGCGAGGTGCAGACGCTGGCATTGGTGATGGACCTGAACAACACTCAAGACTTGACCACCGCGATGGACGCGCTGGCCCAGCGCATCATCGCCATCCAGCGGGCAATGTCAAAGGGGGGCTCGTGGGAGAAGGCCAAGGCCGTGGAGCTCCTGACGGGCACGAGGGGAGGAGTCGCTGCGGGCGGGCCCCTCAGGCTCACCATGCGACGAGGTGGCGGAGGGCGCGGCAGAGGTGGCTGCGCCGCGGGGGCCGGGGCGTCTCCGTCGCCTCCGTCGCGGTCGGTCTTGGCGACTGGCTGTGCTTCGCGGGCGGCCCGTTGGGGGCGCCTCTCCGCCAGGGGCACCTCGGACGGCCTCGAGTGGTGGAGTTCGGCTGGGCTTCGCCGATGATCTTTCCAGTCCCGCTGCTACGGCGTCGTGACGTCGAGCTCGCGAAGTTCGGGCGCAGGCGTCGGGGCGCAGTTTTTGTCTGGGGTGACATGTGCATCGCCGGCATCAACAGCTTGCGCGGAGCCGTCGGTGACTACAGCACTGCCAACGCAAGCCCAGCGACGGGAGCAAAGGCGCATGCTGATGGGCGCCTTCCGCTTCCTCGAGGCCGAGTTGGCTTGGCCTGAGGCTGCCGCAATTCAAGAGTTCCTGCGCCATTGCGACGGCTATGGGCCGTTGATGTGCCCGGAGCCCCCTGGCGAGCGCGGGGGGGCCCCCGATCGCGCCGCCGCGCTCTCTCCTTCTGAGTGCGGGTCAGCGGCCTCGCGCGCTGGCGGGGCCCACCTACCCGCGACTCGTCGCCCGGGACGTGGCCGCGGGCCTCCAGGGGCGCGGCCCCAAGAAGAGGGCGCGCAAGCATCGCGGCGTGCCTCTCGTTGCCGGGGCCTTCGGCGCGGGGAAGTCCGACACGGGGCAGCGGGTGATCTCGGACTCGCCAGTGAACCAGCTGCTGGGCCCCGCCGCTCTCCCTCGCCCGACTTTTGCATGCCCTCAGAGGCGGCGCGCGGTCAAGACGTCTCCTGGAACGCGGGTCATTTTTTTACCTGCGCCGCTACTGCCACCAGCTGGCCGTCGGCGAGGGATGGCGCAAGTACATGGCCCGCCCGCCTGTGCCTGATCCACGTGGAGGGGCTACTGCGATTCGCCCCTTCCACCGCGCCGCGCCCGCGGGCTTCGCGCCGTCGGCGGGCTGGGCGCAGGCGGCCTCCGACACCGCCTTCCCGAAGGCAGGGCTGCCCCAGGGCCGCGGGGTGACCTTCGACGCCCTGCCCGACTGAGCTGCCGATCTGGGGGCCCGTCGTGGACGACTCGTGGGCCATGGGCGAGCGCTCGGCCGGGGGCCGAGCCCGCAGTTCAGCGACCGTCTGGATGACCGAAGCTGAGCAGGCTCGGGACCGCGCGGGCATCCCCGTGCATCATGGGAAATCCGTGGATGGCGGGCAGGGCGAGTTCCAAGGGACCGAGGTGCACCCCACCCAGCACTGATTGGGCGCGACTCGTCGG